GTGCTCTGATTGGCCAGCTATCCAGTGCGTTGTGATTGGCAGAATGCCTCAAGCGTGTGACGGAAATTTTACGCCCCTCACCATCTTCTGTAAAGATACACGCATAAGCCTCCTTTGAATAAATATAGCCAAAATCCCACCAAAATCCGTTGCCATGACTTATCGCGAGAGGCAAAAGGTTACGTTTTAGCCGCATAACATTGGTTAATGGAAACGCCGTCATTTCGCAATACCTTTTTATCGACATTCAGAAAATATCGCCAAAGTTTTGCGTAAATCTGTAATGGAAACGCGTCTTGTGATGCAGTGTCCCGGAGCGACGAGACAAAAACATTCAAACCCATTATAAACGAGGCATTTGTTGAATCCAGTGGGGACATAATTACGGATTATACATCATATGACCCCTTTAATATTTATCTTTCTGTGATATACTTTTGATAGTGATACAGTAAATGCTCAACCGATTTCTCATCCTGACAATGATCACACGTTTCCCTATTAGATGTTTTATTTAATCCTGTATGTCCCATTCTCAACATGTACTTTTTCCTTTACATACCCTCCTACTCCCTAATTTCTCCTGGATTCTATCATAATGTCTGCCTGTTACTGCTATATCCCAGTTGTGTTGCCATTCCTTCATTATACTATTTTTAATTATTACTTTTGCTTACAAGATTTCCATAACATCACTATTTTGCATGCCTCCTTAGCTAGAGTATCTGCAGCTTCTCTAGCTGAGCTCAGATATAAACAAAATGCTATTGGCTAATTTAAAAAGGGGGCGGGGGCTGCTCGATATGTCCCGCCCTGTCTTCCTGTTTCAGTTGAAATTACGTCACCACATAGAACAACGCTGCGTGTTTCAAGGAACTTCAGGGGACCTTTAATGTAAACAAAGCTGGGAACACAAGGAACATGGAGCACACAAAATGACACATAACAGCGGACGGGAAACAAGGGGCAGAACACACTTTAAATACACAGTAACTAATGGGACACACCTGGGATCAAATGAACTAAACAAGGAACACCTGCCCTGGAACAAATGAACATAAGGACAGGAACGGGAAAAAACAAATATGGGCATAACAATAAACATAGAGCACGTGGGGGAGGAAAACACACACAAAACTGGGAACAAAGTCTTGACAGCTATACAGCTAAAAAAAAAACTACTGGGCATGCGCACATCAACATAGCGTATTTTTTTCTCACACTGTACAACAATAATTACCGTAATATTTTTTGCATTATTGAAAGGGGTAGGTTTAGGGTTGGGGTAGGTGTAGACGTTAATAAAACACAATCTAATAGGTAGAAAATTCCATTTATTGTTAGCTTCCGGTTTTTGCTGTATCCCTTCTAGCCACAACCCTATCTAAACAGCTTCGCTCGATGATGCCGTTTCAGACTCCGACAGTGCATAGCAAATTGGCTGTGTGTTTTCTTTTCAGCTTTTCTGAGCTGGCAGACATGCCAGAAACCTAACTAAATGCAAAAAAAAAAAAAGTGAAAAAAGTGACAATTTCATCTGACGTCCCCTCTAAAATGTAGTGAAAAAGTACAAGTAAAAGTCAACAATTTCATGTAAATTTTGTGTAAAACATTATTAAATGTCAAAACACCAAAGACTTTGTAAGGTCTCAGGTAATATTTAAAATGAAAACCCTAAAACTGACAAGATTTTTCACCCAATTAATTTTACCCATGCAGTTACATGAGCAGATACTACATAATAATGATGATGATGATGAAAAAACAATCCATTGTAATAATAACTATCTTCATAACAGGTTTTAGTTTTACTCTTTTTTTCTTTCTTTTTTTTTACTTCACTAGTTCAATTTTCCATCATGTTAAATGTCAAATGAGCTTTTCAGTTGGTAAATGTCTTGCAGATACAGCAGCAATAGAATGTTTTGATTCAAAAATAATACGATCACAACTGAAAGCACACAACGTTTTTGGTCTATCACTTATAATTACCCATCAAATAGCTTTCCTTCTTATTTCTGAAGCGTCTTTCAGACAACATTAGCTTTTCATTTAGCAATTTTTTTCCCAAGAATCAACGAATCATAAGCTGTTCTTTCTAAACTTTTTAAATCATTTGACTCAAGAGGACGCTGTTGGTAAGTGTTCCCTTTTGAAGGGTTTGTTGCTGTCATCAGAATAATATTTGTGCTTTTATGATCTCTGGCTAGATTTGGATTTAACTAATCTTCAAGACAAACTACAAGTAAATGTAGTTTCTCGCACGTTACACTGAAGTGTTTAATAGCTTGAATCCAACTGATGCGCTCTTGCAGATGTCGGCTGAACTATTCACAATGACTGATCATCTGTCCATCACAGATCAGATCCTCCTTCTCTACGTTTATGACCTACATCTGAAAATCATTGAACAGGTTAAACATTCACATCATATTAATCAATACAAACTACAAACAAACACTTCCTGGACCCAGTGTTTTCCTTAACACTATTGTACCTAATCCTACATTTAAAAGTAGACTCATATGGCTTCATTTTAAAAAACTTTTAATCAAGCAATGTGTCAACAAATTAGTCATACTTTACAGTCATAATTAACACAAAATTGTAAATTCTGTCATCATTCACATCTGAGGTCATTCTAAACCTGTATGGCTTTCTTTCTTCTGTTGAAGAAAAATGAAGATATTTTAAAGAATGTTTTTGACCATTCAATAAAAGTCAATGAGTCCCAGCAAAGGACCAGCTTAAACCAGCAAAGGACCAGCTTAAACCAGCAAAGGACCAGCTTAAACCAGCAAAGGACCAGCTTAAACCAGCAAAGGACCAGCTTAAACCAGCATCCCAGCGTCAAAACATACCTAACCAGCATATGCTGGTTTTTTCAGCAGGGCAATGACGTTCATTGTAAAGACAAGAGGGACATTCTTCAAAATCTTATTTTGTGTTCCACAGATGAAAGAAAGTCATACAGGTTTGAAATGACTGCTACTAAAATACCTATTGGTTAAACGTTTCACGACATGCTGTTTTAAACGATTAATTGCATCTGTTTCAAATGGAGTGAGACCTTTTCTTTGCTTTCGGTAGCATTTGCTGGCTGCTCAGGAAGTATTTCACTGAAAGTTTTCGCCTCAGGGAATAAAGGAAGACGATGTGAAAAACCAAAGGACTGTTCCAGCCCTGCAAAAGGAGAACTGCAGCCTAAATCCAGAGGAAGAGGAAGCATGGAAGATCTCAGTGGAAGAAGCAGCTGCATCAGTGAAGGGGACTGTGCAAGGGTTACTCTTTACATTTCTCTGACAGTCAAAGCAAAAGCGCACAAACCACCAGAAGCTGATCAAATGAAATACGCCTGTTGTTTCCGACACCCCTCTAGTCTCACATCCAGAACACTCCTCTGTGGGAGCTGCCGACACCAGTGCGATGGAAAGAAAGTATGCACTATTGTGGATGTTTTCAATTGTCAGCTGCTTACTTGATGTATTTTTAACGAATTGTTCCATTCATTGTCTCCTTGAAGGACCTGCGGCTGTTTCTCATGGTTATGGAGCTGCAGACGTTAGTCGTGATGAAGTTACTGCCAAATTGATGCCTCTCTTTTGTATCTGTTTTATTCTGTTATTAGACATTAAAAAATAATAATGCTATATTATATATAATGTCTCGAAGAATCTGTTCAGAGATAGATAAATCGATAGATAGATAGATAGATAGATAGATAGATATGAACAGTGTCGTTTATTTAGAGATGTACAAGTTACTTTTATTTCAAAGATGAAAACAATCAACATGTTCTTGGCAAAAAATGGTTGATTCTCAAACAACAGCTGAAGTCAAATGTTTGTTTAGGAGATTAAGCTTATTTTACTACAATAAGGACATTTTTAACTGCTTTATTACTTCATTCAATCATTAAAATCACAGAAAGTGAGCTATGAAACAACAACTACATGATGACAAAGGAGTGTCAGCTGAGAGAAACTGTAAATGTTTGTGTATAGCAGGATTGAGTGGTGCACGTTATTAAAGGAAGGTGTCCTTCATAACGCCAGGCTGCTCTAGCACAGTTTTCCTGTGAGCCGATGCTTCCAGGATCTTCTTGCGCGGCCCCAGCTGGATGCGGATGCCTTTAAGATCATCATCTGAGCAGAGCATCAGGGCGTCAAGATCCAAGTGTTCACGGGTGAACACAGGACCATAGTCCAACAGGCCGATCGACGCCAAGAAGGAATCCAAGTGTGAGGTCTCCTCGTCCTCATCCAGGCCGATCTCCTCTTCGTTCCAAGGAAGTTCTGAATCCTTGTCCAAACCCTCCAGACCTTCATCCACAGTTTCAAACAACTCTTGACGGATGAGGTACCCTAGGTCTTCTGTATTGCCGCTGGGGAGGTCTTCAGGGTCCATGGCCATTTCCATGGAGAAGTTCCTGCGGAACACCATTTTCCCGAGACCAGGCCTTTCGAAAATAGACTTGACCTGACTGGTTCCCTCGTCGTCCAAATCTCTCTCGACATGGTCTCCTCGTCCTCATCCAGGCCGATCTCCTCTTCGTTCCAAGGAAGTTCTGAATCCTTGTCCAAACCCTCCAGACCTTCATCCACAGTTTCAAACAACTCTTGACGGATGAGGTACCCTAGGTCTTCTGTATTGCCGCTGGGGAGGTCTTCAGGGTCCATGGCCATTTCCATG